AGGTTGCAGGTTGGAAAATCGTTTCCAAAGAAAGCATTTACTAAAGTATCAAAAGTTCTGGAAAATCATGTATGATAAATCCTGTTAGGTATCTAAAATTCAGGCTATTAACAATGTTTCTTGCTCCTGCACCTGGAATACCTGCTGCCACTTATAAAAACTAATTTGGGAGAGAGAATCAGATGTTCATAGAAATTCCTAATTCTACAATAAAGCCCAAGAACATGTTACATATTCTATTCCTAGAAAATAGTACTTCCATCTTCTATCTAATCAACTGAAAAGTGATAGAAATGCAAATACTCAGAAGATAATAAAATACATAAAGACAAATAAGCCAAACAGAAAAAAACATCAGTCAAAAGTAAAAAGGGATTAAGAACATAAAAATCAGGAGTTTATGCAGGTCATTACAATTGCAGTTTATCTAGCTTTCATCCTAATCTTCACTATCCATGTTTCTTGTACATGAAAGCATCACATCACTGGTCCACCCAGTATTGGCTCAGATTAAACTTTTGGGGAGGAAATGCTGAGTACAGCAGGGGGGGAGGGGGAACCAGGAATGGTAAATAAATCTAAAAATAAGTGCTCTGGAATCAGCATTTGAATCTATTTGCTGGGGAACTTAGAGGTCTGGAGGCTAGGTTAAAAAAAGAGAATCTGTTTACCCTACAAACAGATCATGGGCAGACTCCCTGGCAAGGCAAAATCAAACAGGCTATTGAACTTCCTGCAAAAGTCATATAATGGAACTGTATGCCAAAAGAGAACATTACCAAAAAATATTCCAAGAGGGAAATTACCATCTTCAAGAACATGTTCCCATAAATTACTATTACCTATTATACTATATTATGATATAATTGAGTGTTCTAATATATTCATTAGCTTTAAAAAATTGGAAGTTTGCACCAAAAAAATGAGAATTACTCAGCCCCTTCAATATATTTGATTACTAGTCACATTAAGAAATCAGCAACAATAATCCCGTTGTTAATTTTAGAAAACTACTACTCCAAACTATACAGGAACAAGCACAGGCCTAACCCTCTCTTCAGAAGTAACACTATTTTTGTACAAGGAACAGCTAATTTCAAGTGGTTTATGCACAAACTAAAGTATGCATGTTTCATTTTTTCCCCCAGATACAGCTCTAAACAGCTGTTTTATTGTGGGCATGGGTTGAAAGTTGTTCATATGGTATATTTTCAGCTCCTATAATTGGGTGGTTTTCTTTGCTGCTATCTAATGGTCATCCAGATTTTGACAGTCCCAAATGCTCAATCCAAATCCTACTGCTTTCCATAGACAGAACATCAGGAAGAGTTTCAGGGGTTTATTCTATTGAAACAAAGAACAGTAAAGATATTTCAGCTTTTATTTCTACCAAACTGCACTCAGTTTTTTTAAAAGAAGACAAAATAATTTGGAGGATGAACTCCTTTGTTTCATATTTGAAATAAAAGTCATGTATTTCATTTTTTGTGGGCCTCCCTAGAAACTGACGAAGAAAAAGCTCACTTTAACAGTGGACTTCACCGCCTTCAAGCAATCTACCAAAGGACAGTTTCTGCAAATTATCAGATTATTATCTTGATTAATATAGAAGGAAAATCAGAAAGGGGAAGGGGAAATAGAGACACATTTTCCAAGCGATCTTTCCACCAGCTCAAGCAGTCTGGCGGTATGTTTCGCCTCACAAAGGAACACGCATGCACCTTTCCCCTAAAATACCAACTTAAATTTGTGTTCGAGTATATCGTATATAAACTGCACATGACAGAGGGAGAGAAGAGCTTCCCCTTCAGAGGTCACGTGAACGGGGAAGGGGAAAAAAAAGTGAGCCGTCCCGCCAAGGCCTGAAAAGGGCCAAGATGGCCAAACTTCACAATATTGGGGAGGGGGGTAGGTAGGTGGGCGACAGAAAGGGGATATCTTACTATGTTTGTTTGTTTGTTTATTTTCTTTAGGAGCCAAATCTCCAACTACCAACCTCCCTCCCGTTTCTGGAAGCACGCCCAGGCGACAAGAAGCTTTTAAAATCATAATCTCTTTGCGACTGTGGGGACAAGAAAGGAGAATAAAGAGTGAAAATGAGCATTTGAGCGTTACTCTCTCCTCATCGCAGCTGCTGGAGAGACAGCGCGGAGGGTAAGGGGGGACTATAGCCCGCCTCAACCCAAGGGCACTGCATGCCGAGCGTGTTCGCAGGGTTGGCACCCCCAAGTGGGGGGACACAAGACACCCTTGCCCAAGTCGCACTTGGGCTGCTGTGCAAGCCTGACGTGGGAAGGGAAGCGCCGAGAACTTCCACGCGGAGAGACCGCCCTGCGGGGTGACAGCTTGCAGCCCTTTTCTCTCCCTCTCTCTCCTCCCCCGCGCCCGGTCATGGCGCTCGCAAGAACAGCCACCCCACCCATCATCCACCCCACCCACCCCCCGGAAAAAAAAAGGAAAGAGCAGAACGGAGGGGGGAGAAAACATCAAACCCTTCACCTTGGCTCCCAAGAGGCGCGCGGCCGCCCTGCTACCGGCAGTCAACAAGGTCATGGCGAGCACCGACCAAAAGTGGTGTGGCGGAGAAAGGGAAAGCAGAACCCGCCCTCGGGAAAAAAAAGTGGGGGGAAACAGGTCTTGGAGGCGGGCAGAAAAGCAGGCGACGAAGACCGGGAAGAGGGGAGGGAGGGCGGCGTAAGGGAGAAGACGAGCGGGCTGCGCCGGGCTGGGGTTCTGGCAGCGTCTGGGCGGAGCAAGGCTGGGAAGAAGGCCCAAAGCGGCATTAACAGAGTCGGTCGCTCTCGCCCCCGAAGAGCCGCGCCTCTTTTCCGGCGGCGGCGGCGGCGCGCTGCGATTGGCTGCGAGGCGGTGGATGGACAAGGCCTCGCTGCGCGCGGAGGGGCCGCCAAGGGTGGGGTGGAACGTTGAAGGGAAAGCGCTTTTAACCGGGCGCGTCCCCGCTTGTCTCGAAGTTCGGCGGCGTTGGTTTTTAGCGAGCCCTCGGCTTCCCGTTTTGCGAGGGGTGTGTGTGTGTGTGTAACGGATCTGTCCCCAATAGACGTTAATATATGTATCTCAGTATTAAACTTGTGGTTCTGAGGTTGCTGGTTTGCTTGCAGACGTTTCGTTTTACCCGACTAGGTAACACCATCGGGGTGACTTAGTGTGATGTTTGCATCCTGATTTTATATAGCAGCTTTGTTTAGCCAAGGGTAGAAAGGTCTGCAGCCAATCGCCAAAAATGCTATAATTCTTCAGCAAAATGGCCCTTTTCCCTGCGATTAAAACAGGAATAAAAATATTGTGTGACTCTAGTCCCATGCTCAAAGTAGCACATCTGATGACATTGCGCACACTTTGTGCTCCTCAGAAGTTAACATAACTTTTAAAAAAATTTAAATTTGCTCATTGCTGGTTTTGCACAGTTTGGAATCCAGCCAACCTGACATATAGCATAATGTAATGGGATAGTTTTTAAGGATATACTTAACTTTATAAAGCAATTGCAAGGCGGAGGAACCATGTGCCACAGGGCCCTCTTTTGCCAGCAAACATACTAAATTTTCCAGTGTTTAAAGTACAATTAAATCAGTCCAGTTAGCAACAGACGATATCATCTTGTCCTTTGTCTCAAGCAAAAGAATAGGAAAAATCCAAGTCTTGAAGCAATTTATGAAGGCCATGCCTTCAGCTTCTGAGAAAAGGTCAGCAGTATGCCTTTCAATGCAGTACTGTAGTGCAACATCACTCAGCTAGTATTGACATATTGCAGATCAGAAGAGTGTGGGAAGAGCGATAAGGCAACAGATATTGCAGGACAAAGGCCTTTCCTTAGCTGGTGGGTTAGTCTATGCCACTTGCTCCATTTGGCTAAGTGCCTTACCTATTGCATACCCTCCTGAAACCAGCAAAGTTCCAAATACACATTCTGCCTTTAGCCTGTGTTCTCACACAGCAGATAGATGACAGTGCAGAGTCCTCAGACTGAACCAAAATGTCATTTAGCATTCCTTTTTGAAACTGCAAGGGATTCTTTTTGTCTATGGGTAATTCAAGCTATAGACATCCCCTTTCTATATAGAGAATTCCCATTTATGTAAATTTCTATGCAGTGCAAGTGGAAGAGGGACAACAGTACATCATCTTAGCAAGACAACCATTTTTGAATATAACTTTAATTAAAAAAATTTCCATGCTGATGCAACACACACAAATTTGACCCTGAGAGTGAAGGTTGTTCCTTGTAGAAACGTAATTTTGGTATTTCCAAGATCATGTGATTCTTTTTTTCAGGTTGTCACAAATTAACAGAGCTGCACACCTGTTTTAGAAAAGTCCACAAAAGTCATGACAACTATAGACGTAGAGATAAGTCAGTGGTAATTTCTCTTTCAGGAGACTTTTTAGCCTTTGAAAAATGCTTGGAAATTTTTGTTTAGAATGCAGCAACCAATACTACAGTCCAGCAATATGCATTCTGCTTTTAGAATCCCAGTGCTATTTCATCCACACCTAGTTGCTAGTCTACTTCTGAGCGCAATTCAAATATCAATGTGCTGATCTTAACTATGAGCGAGTCCTGACTTCTCACTGCTTTTCTTGCCTTTGGTAAATAATTTAAAATGCAAATTACCTGATTATTTTCTGTCTAATGAAAAAAATGTTTCAGTAAAGGCAGAAAATGCAACCAATTGCTGCTTTTGAGAAGTTTCACTGCTTTGCAATGGAAACTCAATGGAAATCTAACTCATATTGTACTGAGCCATAGTTTGACAAATATTTACTAAATAAACTTCAGCTGGCCATGTTTGCACAATATAAGTCAAAACCAAACAAATCATTTTATGACTAAGCACTGTATGTGAGCTCTACAAAATCATTTTATAGTAACTGTATTACGTGAATTTTTAAAAATTTGCATAATACCTAATTAGCTCTCATGTAAAAGGATAAAGTATGGCATTCTTTGTCTTAGTTTAGTAATCTTTTTCACCATTCCAGAAGACAGGCCAGTAGTATTTCATATTACATACAGTAGGTAGTAAAAGTTGAAGGATATAATGGAAGCAAATCAAAGGCTTGTAATGAATTGTGTGATTTTGGCTTAACATGACGTATGAATCCAGCATGGTTCTGGACGTTATTTGAATAAATCTGGTAGGCTACATGTTTGATGATGCAAGCGACTGAACTCCCAGTTGGAAAAAAAAATCTAAGATTGCTATTATAGCAGTAAAGTCAATATGCTCTATAATGCTCTAATACATATTCTTTTCAATTAAAAATGGGGGAAAATCCATTAGCCAATTTGAGTAGGACCCAATTCCAATTTATTATCTAGCCACCATGGAATGTATTTTATCCTCTTATGAAAACATAGATTAAAAGAAACACATCTTCCCCATTCTCCAAGTGTCTGATGCCCCAAATCAGCACATTCCTGAATATCGCTCACATCTCACAGCAAGGGAGCAGCCATTTTATGTAATAATTTAAAAGACAATAAAAAGACTGTTGTATGGTTATCACTCCACATACAGGCAATATAGACTGGCTTGCTATCTGATCTGAATGTTTTATGCAGAATCTCTGTAATACGGCCAATCATTCCTAGAGGCCATTTTCTGAGGTCAGTTGGCTCTTCACACAAAAACATTGAACCATGTAATAACCAACTGGGTATGTATGTTCTACAAATACTCCATCTACAATATGGAACAATCCCTGCACAATAACAATGTCATGTGGCCTCCATATGGCCATTGCAACCATAGTTCACAGTTGTGTTGGAGACTGGGAAGGTGCTATACAATGGTCCCTTCTTTGGCTTTATAATGAGGGCATCTCTATAGGTTCTATTTATCTTTCCAATTCAGAGAAAGTTTTTACAAATGATTGTCCTGCCCCAGGTCTTTAAATAAGTTGGGTTCAAAAGTGAGAATAACATTTGTAAGATTCTTCTGCTCAAATTCTATTTTGGAAGTGAATGTGGAAGTTGTATTGCTGGTTGCTTGAGACGATCTGCAACTCAGTTTGCATACAACCACAAAGCATCTTTTTCTTTAAAAATTAGAACACACTAACAATGTCAATGCTACTGCAAAGTGGACTTTGATAATGATAGAAATCTCTTTCCTTTTATAAAACAATCTACTTAGTGTGTGTGCTTAAAAGTCAAATGTTGGATCTGTCATCTTGTGTTTGCTTCGTAAAATTATATCAAGAAGCTTGCCTTGGAATTCCCCCCCCCCCTCCTCTGATACACAGTCTTAAGTTTCTAGGGTGTTCTGCACTTTCCCCCAAATTGAAAGACAACTCCTGGGACAATAATTATAGGTGCTTGTAAAAAGGGATGTAGTCTACAAAGAATTAGGCAAAGTCTTCTACCAGGTCAGTCAGCCTTTACACTTCACAGTTCATCATGCGAGAGATGTAAGGCGTGGTCACAGAGATCTATAAAAAAAAAATCAGTTCTCATTATTACATGAACTAGAATTTCCAGCTAGCCAGCATGACTAGTTTACACTTATCCAATATCAGTAACAGTTCCCAAGAGCATAATGACAGTAAACATACCTCTATAAGCATTTCTGAATTTGAATTACTTCCCTAGCTGAGCTAATGCCAGGGAATTCTGGGAGTTGAAGGCTAGCCATCTGTAAGTTATCAAGACTGAGAAACACTGTTCTAAATCTAATGTAGCTTGTTTCACTTCGCTAAGCCTGTTTACAAACAAAATGATTATGATTGGTAAAATATGTATTATTTACCTTTTCAAACAAAGCCATATGGGATTTATTCAATCACACAGTTTTAAAAACCACATCTTGCAATCAATTATTTTTGGAATCCTAATTATTTTGAATAATTATGTATGCATATTTTGATTTTACTTTGATTAAACATGCAAAGACACTCCAAAAAGAAAGCACTTAAGATGAAATGATTCAATTTGTGCCTTTTCTTAGATCTAATCATGTTTATACCTGCCTGCCTTCCCTGCACCTTAAGATTCTGCTAATTGTAAATCAACCTGTTTTAAGGCTTATCTCCAAATTCTAATAGCGACTCAAATTATTATTTTTGGACAAGAGGAAAAACTCATCAAAAAGATGTAATATTCGCATTCTAATTAATCATTGGTTCTCTAAGCCTGCAAAATTTATGACCCAGGAATCTTGTCTGCATACCTGCCAGCCCTATTATTTTTTCCTGAAAGTTTGGTCTAGCTTAAGAGACCTACTTACAATTTTTATCTGGAGTGCAATCTTCATTTCCTCTTTCATATTGAAAGCTAGAGATCACTGATGATTCAAAGACTGGCAGAGGATCAGAGTTTACTGTACTTTTTATCAGTATGAATAGTCATGAATCTAATCATGCCACACAATTCCAAAGGTTCTGGCAAACTACCTGTATGGACAGATCATCAAGTGACTTATGCAATTGATTTCACTCCACGTCAGTCATTAAGGACACTCCTTCAAGCCAATCTAGCTGCACTTAAAAGCATTATATGACTCTTAAGAATATAATTTTCCATAGACTTTTTTCTTTGGCAGGTTTTAACATAGAAATAAGGATTTGTATTTTAATTTCTTAGCCAGCTGCTACAAAAGACTTATGAAACTGAAAACACTGCCAAGAAGGATTACTACACCATGATTTAATGCTCAGAAAAAAAGTTGCTGTTCTTTGGTTGTAGCACCATGGCAAGTTTCCGCTTCTCAAACACGAGAGGGCAAAGGTCAGGTGGAAACAAGCACAGCCAGACATGCAATCCAAAAATAAGTCAATGTTACAGAAAAGGTCAGTTTTCTAAATGGCGTCTTGGCAACTGGATGTTTGTCATCTCTTTCCTAGCCACGGAAAATACACAGAAGGAAAGAAGATAATTTCTTCTAACTGTTTAAGTAATATAGCATTCAGTTATAAAAGATAGCAAGTGGTTTTCGATATCCTCCCAATCTAGAGAAAGATCATTTGAGTTTCTAGGGCACTGGGTAAATCTCAATTTTGTAAAATATGTAATGGAGGACCAAATCTGGTATACTCTTATACTGTTCTCTTGATGTTCAAGATTCTTCTCCATAGTCATGCAGGCTGGAGTTGCTGGTATGGCTCCCCTTATTGTACATAATTGATCTTTTTTTTCCTCCTTAGCCCTATTCCAGAAGCAGCAATCCTATGGGAAATATATTTTCCTTTCTATCTAAGATAGTAGCATGTTTTCAGCAATAAAGTTAATTTAATCACAACATGCAAAAACACAGGCTCCAGATTCCTCATAAAATATAATAGCTTGGCTGGTCAGGCTAGAATTTGGAATCAGCCAATTAAAAGTAGAAATGCTAAAGAGAAAAACAGAAAAAGGTTTTAAAAGTATATTCCTTTCTTGCTTTTTTTCTAATCATAATTTTATTAAAGATAATAATTACAACAGTAAAAATAATAGAAACTGGAAAAAAGTAGAAAGTGCAGAAAAGAAAAAAGGGAAAAAGAAAGGATAAGAATATAATTAAAGAAAAATAAAATATATAAAGAACTGACTTCCCAACTTAATCACAAATGTAAACAATTATAGTAACTTATCACTAAAATACAGCAAATGATTTCTTCTCCCCGTATCTCTTATTTAAATAAACAAATCCATAAATTTCATTCCATAAATCCATAAAAATCATTTCAGTCCTGTTGTCAGCAAAAGTCCATTGAGTTTACCAGAGATAACATGTCTATTTTATCCTCAATCAAATAAACCAACTTTACATTCTTTGTAATAATTTTGATATTTTATTCCTTCAAATATCATAGAAATTGACTTCTTTTTATTTTTTGTTTGTTAATTTTCACAAAGTTCTACAAAACTTTAACATGCTATTTTTTATAAATTCGATATAGCAAAATTATTCAAGATATTATCTTGCTTTGTTATTTGTGTATCTCTTTTAATTATCAAGATATCAGCTGATTTCTTTTGTATAGAATAGAATACTATAGAATGTATTCTATTCTATTCTATTTTGTATGCCCAGAGTAACATCTTTTACTGTGTCATTCTTATAGCCTGGCATTTAAAAAATCCTGTTTCAACTAAGTCTTGATCTTGTCTGAGTCAGTAGACAGCTCTTCAATAATTCCTCTCTAGACAAGGAGAGGACTTGAGATTTCCCACAAGTAGTTCAGACAGCAGGTCTCTAGAAGGTTTAGAACTATGGTTGAAGAGGTAATAAACCTCAGTTTAGTAGCCATGTTGGTACCTCTGAAAGGATACTAAGTTCACATACTTCACTTTCTAATCACTGTCAGAAATTGTTTATTAACTGCTTTTCAGATATCAGGAATTGACAGGTTTTACAGCACTAAGTTTCCTTCAAAACTTAATGAAAGCAGCTTTAATTACAGGTTTCTAAACATAACAAAATGGAATAAGCAGCAGCAGGGTGATTGAACTTTGATTTTAGAAAGTTACAAACAGGCTAAGGATCCAGATAAATCTGAAATAAGATTTTGGAATTAATTAGAAAGAATCCTTCTTGTGGGAATACAGTAGAAACTCTGGTCATGACCATAATTTATTCCATAACTTTGGTGGTTTCTTTGTCTTCTAATGTTTTGTCTTCAGGAATTTCTGGATCAAGTCATGTTTGATCGCCACCCAAGTATGCGTTTGTGACATTCAAAAATTTTGTGAATTTTTTGGTCAAAACCCAATTTGGTCGTGGTCAGAAGCATTCGTGACCAGAGGTTCTACTGTATGCTTTTTTTAAAAATAAGACCTTAAACACAGGATACTAGAGGGAATTAAAAGGACCTAAATATTACAATTAAATATTACAATTAAATTATTACAATTAAATTAATTATTACAATTAAATATTACACTCAATCTTAATTTACAAGTAGAGAATGAAGCAAAATATTTTAATATTGGACATATTGAAAGATATTTTTGAACAATGGACCCAGAAGTTAATGTTAATAGTGTCTTGCCTTATCATATTCATTTGTGTGCTGTTACTTCTCCAAGTTCGGGATGGTATAGATCAGGGGTGTCAAACGCACGTTGTCACGTTATTATCACTGACATTATCAGGACTTTTTTCCTCTTTGCTAAACTGGGGGTGGGCATGATCAGCACGTGATGCATCCAGCCCGCAAGCCATGAGTTTGACACCTATGGTATAGATGAATTCTTTTTCCTCAACTATTTTACGCAAGAAGTAAATCTGGCTGAAAAGAAAATAACTAGCTCAAAGCTACAAGAGATATTCCCAGGCCAAAAAGGATTTTAATTATTACTTCACCCCAACAAACAGCTGGTCCTCAGTCTGTTGAAAGCTAGAATATTCACCTTCCTTGTGAAATGATTACTTTTGTTTGATATTTGAAATGAAATGCAGGGGTACAACTACAATATCAGGAAGAGGGACCTTCTTTCTTTACTAAGGGATATCTTCTATCAGGAGTGCCACAACTAGGTTAAAAGCCAGATTCAAAATTAAGCAAAGCCAACATTTTTTCTTTCCTTCTGCCTTCATTATTTTACCTCTTTATTTATTACATATTTGTTGATTTAGAGAGAACATACACTGTGAACAAGCTTGAATTATTTTTGCATTCAGCAACCAACAAAACACAGCATAAGTGCTCACTACTAAAGGAGTACATTGAGATGATTTGGTCACACAGAGAAAATGAATGAGGATTCAGTTAGAAAAAAAATGAAAGATTGGATTGAGTGGAAGGGAAAGAAAGGAAACTCACGGAATTGATGGTATCATGAAAAAGAGAAGTTTAAATAACAAACACGCAACACATGAAGCATTGTATGTATGTGGTGGTAATAACAGAAGAGGTGTTTTCATTTTATATATATATTTAAATACCTAAGAACAGTACAAACAGTAATTTGTTGTATGCTGCACAGTCATTTTGGTGAGATGTGTGATTAAATAAATTTTAAAAATATCAGAACTTCTGAAAAAGAGAGAAGCAGCTATCAGCTAAAATATTATCCAAGCATTTTTATAATATTTTAAAATTGCAAGTTCAAACCAATGATGAACATTCCATTTGATGAACACAGCATTTTTCATCCAAGAACTCAAGGCATGGATACAGAGGAGTCCCTCTTTCTATTTCCCCTACAACGACCACCCTCTGAGTTGGAATAAGCTGAGGAAATGAAGGCAAAAGTCACCCAGGGAGCTTTCAGGCTTCAGTATGGACTGCGCCCTTTTTATACCAATTATTAGCATGCTTTTAATTTGCCAATCAGCAAAAGACTACAGACTGGTTTCTGCCCTATATGCCCCCATAGATGGTAAAGCCATGACAGACCGTATCTTTTAAAACTCAACAGTGCTACCGATTCTGTGCTTACCTGTTCGTTTGCTGCATAGCCGGTCCTTGACATTTTCTGCCTCATGGGAAAAGAATTCTATGAGCTCGTCTTCGTACTCTTCAGCTATTTTCTCACACTGTGAGGAAAACCAGGAATTCAGCTGAGCAGCTTTTTTATAGCTGTTTCTTATCTTATTCTCCCAGGTCTATTGGCTAAGCCAATTTTAAAGCACAGCAAGCCTAGACCAACTTAACTCAGGGCAATTGCCATGACTCTCCTTTAGTCAAAATGCACTAGAGAGAAAACACAGTTCATTGGGAGGAAGGGGAGGCAGTTAATTAGCATAATACAGCCTGTTCTTTTCAGAAGCCATGAACAGGATATTCTGACTTCTTTCTCTATGCAATTCCATTAATTATATGTGGAAGTCAAACATGTATGACTTCACATTTCTCCAATTTCCCTCAACAGAGTAATAACAGAATATACAGGTAATAAGATTGTATATGCTTAGGAAATGATTTGGAAAAGGTGCTCCAGCACACAAGAACACAAGTACAGTGCTTCCTTAAAGCAGCTGTTGTTTTTTTTAAGATTCCACACAGAAGTTGCATCAAAGACACAGCCACCTTAATGAATTGGCTCATTAAAACAGCTGCATAATTTTCAACCTTGCACTGGAGCCCCTAAAAATATGACTATATTAAATTAGTATTATGCTCTTACATTTTCTGAACCAACTTTCTTGAAGCAGATAGAGTTCCTCTTTTGCTGGCCCTACACTTGAGAAACAGCAATGCTGAGAAAAAGACAATCATGTAGCTCTTGATTTATGCAAGGAAAAAATTCTGAAGATTTTAGAGACAGAAGGGAAAGGAGAAGGCCCTGTCATTTTTCTAAAGCTCCCCTTAAGATATACTTGTATTTTCGCATCAGAACCACTACCATGGGGTTCATCAATGTTTCAGAAATCAATGTTGTCTTTTATCGTTTGTGTACCTCTTCTATTGTATAATACTTGTAAGGCACGATCATTGGCGTAGAAAGTTTTGCTTCCTCAATCTTTCACAGCATACAACCAGAATTTGGCTGTAACCATAAAGATATAAGTAGCATGTCGGCTGTTTGTCACCATAACTCTTCATTACTAAGGTCTCGTAAGAGGAAAACTGTTACGTCTATTGTGACAGAAAATCAGAAAGAGCCTGGTTTTCCAACTAACAAATTTTATTAAAAGGTATAAGCTTTCATAAATTGCATTCACTTCACCAGATGCATAAATAGCTAGACTGTTGTAAAATATAAACTGGGATGAAGTGGGGAATGGTTATGCAAATTATATGTGAGACAGATTACAAGTAATCAAATAAAGAAAGGCAAAGGGTTAAAAATCTATTGTGTCCCTTGAGATCTTCTGAAATGTTATGTATGCAAGTTCAATAATTTCTCGCTAAGCTATGAAGGTGGTCTTTCAATAGCAGTTGTTGCTAAAATTAAAGAGAACACCTACTAGATTGTACTGAATAACTACTACAAGAGAATGTTTGCATTTATGTCTTACTTATAAGCTTCTGTAGGTTTTGGTTGTCCACTCTTAGAATAGAATAATGAGCTAAATGCTTCTCCCAATCTAGTCTGTGGTTCTTATATTCTACAGAAAAGCAATACATCATAATTAGGAGCATCTAAAAGAAAGGACATCCTTCTGGATCACTTACTGCAAACTTCAGGCTTGATGTCACATCACCATCAAATTTGGTTTCAGAAAGATCCATCTTGGTCCCATCAAAGGAGACCACTCTGACATAATTCTTCCTGTGAGTTGAAGGATCGATCTTTTCACCATAGTTATTCATGTTTTCACAGATGTTCTCCAACAGCTCCGTCAGGTGAGCCTCAGATCTGGCATAGGGCACCTAAGAGCCAATGAATACTTTGTTAAACAGATGACAGAAGCTCTCCCTGTTTATCAGAGACAACTGCAAATCCTTCTTCAGTCTGGCACAGGAGATACAAAGTATGATCTGTAAATATTAGAAAACTCTCACTTATGCTATAGAAGAACGAATCATCATGTACTTAGTCAGTAAAATCATTTCTTAACTTATTACTATTTTTGCAGCTGTAATTGTTTTCAGTAGACAAGGGGCCACTAAAGTTTAACCCACTATGTTTTGACTGTAGGTGACTATATATTTACAGTATGATATAATCTTCTGACTACAATTATTGGATGGTGCTCTAACTTTTTCAGCAATATTGAAATAAAAAGAAAAGCTCTTAATTATATTGTTCACAATATATTATGGAATTGGTAGGGGGAAACAGGATAAAAAGAAACCTCTAAATACTTAATCTCTCTCATCGGAAATTTAAAACCTTCCCTCACGTGAGTTTTCTAACCATTTCACAGTTTGCCCATTTCAGCAATTGTAATGGAAATTTTCAAAGATTCAACTAATCTATGTCAAGTACAGAATATATTACCTCTACTATGGACTGGCTTCCATCAGGATTAATGCGGAAGGAGCCTACTTGGATAGTTTTTTTCGGATCTATTCGAGATATTTCCCATTCCAGCTCATCCACTAGAGCCCGGCATACTAAAAGCAAACATCACTTAGGAATCAAATACTAGTGAGATGATTATTTATCAAGAACAATACAGTAATATATAGAACTGTTAAGGGACAGTTTTAATAAGGATTTTCCACACTTTCACAACTTATTTCCATTTTTGTGGTGCTGGATTGAGTCACCAGATTTTTTACAAACCTATAATCACAGCTGAAAATCTCAGCAAATGAACAAAGGACTGTAAATTAGTGTTAGCAAACTCATTAAACTAAGATTAAACTAAATTTCAGAGCAGCTTTTCCTTCTCACTAATTGTCAGTCAAGTGGCCGTCTGTCCCATTTTAACCTTTCTTTCTTTTTCTTCTTTCTAGCTAGCCATCACTCAGGCATTAACTCCATGATTTCCCTCTCATGCTAAGAACAGTCTTTAGCATTTAGCAGCTGAACAAATGCATTATTTATAGCACAGCATGCTGCAGATGGAATCATGCCAAGGGACTGTGTCTATGCCTAGTAACAAATGTATTTAGTACAGTAGTAAGCTCTGCAGAGAATTTACAGTCAATGTCAGAAAAGGAGATATAAACAGCAAGAAAGGGATTAGATAGCCAAATTCTTCTTTGCCTTCAGTAGCAATTGCAATGTTATTGTTGTTACTGTTTTTTTTTTTTTTATCAACATACATATATTCTAGTTAACTAAGTCCTACCTCCTATTTTCCCCAAAACAACAATAATTTTGTGAGGTGGGCTGGACTGAGAGACTTTGCCTGGCCCAGTCACCCAACTGGCTTTCATCACTGAGGGGAGGGTCTATAGTTTCTAGAAACTCCTGGTTTCTGGGCCAGCATCTTAACCACATGAAGCATGTTCCTTTTCGTACTCTTTTTTTTACTCTACTAATAAGCAAGCAGAATTACAACAGGAGCTAGGATGCAAGACAAAAGGAATAGCAGGAAAAAGATGGTGTTGATATGATCCCTTCCTGAAGATATTTTCTGTGATAGGTTCAATAATCTTGCTTCTCACGTTAAAAAAAATACTCATGCACTTAAGTAGAACTAAGCAATTTACAGCTCTCCAAATATTGCAGAACATTAGTTCCCAGTCATGGCTTGCCTAGTTAAGAAGAAAATATGTTTCAAATGGCATAAAATGTCCAGTGTGCAACCAACTACAAGAAATGACAAGCAGTTCTGTTGTTAAGTCCCATCATTGGCACTACCGTATTTTACATATGCCATGAAGAATTTGAATGAAAGCCAATTGCTTAATCCACAATGAAAAAATGTGAAATACTTCTGCAATTAAATGGGAGAGACCATTGTCTGAAAGAAGCATTAGGTTTTGGGGAATGAGAGAAGTATCTAAGAGAAGTATTTGTTAGTAGTATTCACTGGTTAGGGATTTTCTGTGTTTCATTGAGTTGCATTGTGTTGGGGGCTGCACTAAGGGAGGCTCAGCCAATCTCATTGTACATATGTTGTACACTGATAATAAAGGTTTGAATTTGAGTTTGAAGTAAGGCAAGGACTGAAGAGTAAATACTACCAAGTAAATTCATTCTAGAATAAGTGAAGAAATAAGGCACAAGGCATTTTAATCCTATTCTGTCAGTAAGTTGTAACAAGGTTGTGGTGTAATGTAGTATGCTAACTATTCAGTCATAAATCTGGGCAAAATATTTTTAATAATGCATTTGTTCAGCTATCTTAGTTGCTAGTCCATGTGCATGTTTGTATATGCAGAGGGGTAGATTCTGCTGCAAAGAAAGTAATATGCATATCAAATAACAGTTTTTTTAGGACAAAAGAGAACTGCAGGGACTAGATGAAAATGTTTAAGTACTTTACCAACTCATTAATTTTAAAAATAGCTTAGTTTACCTCCACAGCGGAGATCTTGGCTCTTCTGGGTACAAACACTACTCAATAGCAATAAGAAGCAGATGGTGCTTGAAATCCAGCCATTCATCTTCCTAGATGTGGGCAAGCAACCTGCAAAGTCAGATGTTAAGTTCAAGATGAACATGAATGTTCTTTTTTGGAGAGGGGCACCCTTAAACCCAAAAGCAAGCTTCTGCAAGGCTTCAGAATCTCATCCTCATCTTACAAAATGCAAGTATGCATACACAAGTATATGCATGATTTAAAACACCAGCACATCAATGCCCATACTCTGCAGGACTGTAGTATCTTTATACAAAGCTATATTGTGAAAGGTAGCAGTTAATCATTGAGCAAGTGTAGAATACAAAGTACCTTTTGTGCAACAGGCCAAAAGGCAGCAATTAGAACTGCAGGTTCCCAGTTATTTGCTTCTTTTTAAGTACAGTAATCAGAACTGTAAAATGTTTGCTAGCATGCTATGCTTTCTATAAAGAATCAAATTAAAAGTAATCTCTCTTTTTAATATATGCCTAACATATAAAAAAAAGGACAAAATGTATTTGGCAAATATAGTAAACATTTTTCATATTTTAACAGTTGTCAAACTGTTTCCAAACATAACAGACCTTGTGGGTTATATTCATGCTTATCAAATAGATTTAAACCTAGCAAAGAATGATCCAGAATACATCTCAGCTACATTACCGGATCTTCAAATAAAATTTTCAATTATTTTATCCTTTCCTGATTTATTCACTATTTCTATGATCTTCCCATTTTTCAGTTGCCATGATCCACTTTGTAGACTCTCAACCACCAAACTTCCTTATAACCTACACTCCAGAAAACAAGTTTTACCATAGAACTACATCAGTTCAGATGCACATACATTTTTATGTGGAGGAAAGCACAACACAAAGACAGTAAGATTTCATAGATACGTTTTATTTCTACACATATAAATTATTTTTTAATTGGGAATGCTGAAAAATGCAGTCTGAAGTATAACTGATGAGTCCTAAACCTCAAAGTGTTACTTGCAGTTTTTGGCTTCTACTATTTATTTTGATCAATGTTAAAGGCAGAGTTAAATCATACAGGTAACTTGACTCACACTAAAGGGCAAATGAAATTCTCACCACCAAGCTTGGCGATTCTAATATATATTTTATTAGTAAGATGAGGAAAGATATTGAACAGGGATTGCAGGCAACTAGGTAATTATGACATTCAGGGGCAGATTACGCTATCAAAACATTGTTAATTTGCCATTTTTGTTCTTTTTTCCACAGTAATTCCAGCTTTAATTCCCTCCCCTCCCCAACGCTAAAAATATTACTTCTACTCTTTATTCTAGGAGAGCTACCCAGTATCGGTGGGTTTTTTTTTCAGAGATTTTCTCCAGATTTTGGATAACAGTCAACCCGTTATTAATTTCAACCAGCACGTCCAAGAGTCAGGATGAAAGTTGCAAGCTCATCTCTCTCTCTCTCGAAATGCGAGTTGAGGATTCAGTCCTCCTATGTTTGTAACAGAAGCGCCGTTTGTATTTGTATTCTGACTACTTTGCCTATATTATCTCAATGATCTAAAGTACAACAGCTCTTAAAGACAGGCCGCTGTTATTCGCCCTCGCTGTGCAAACCAGGAGCCAAACTTCAGAGCCCCATTGCCAAAGGCATTCGGTGCCCTGCGTGGCAGAGCCGAATTCGGAACCAGCAACTTCCTAGCTCTTACTCGCTCCGTTACGCCCACTTGTAAGTGCTACCACTCTATTACTTCTCTCTAAACTAGGTGTCCCGTTTCCAAGCTCATCGCTCTCACCAGCATCCCCCACAGCGGACCCTCGCGCTCCCTCGGATTCCCCCACTCAGTGCCGGTTAGAGGCGCTTTCCCAGTCTTCTTTCCCGGGCTGGTTAACATCCTGCCTGTTTTTTTTTTCACGAACTAAATTTCATTTCCTCGGTCGCGTTTGAAAACGAAAATTCCTAATATCTACTCCGTTCTTCCTCTTTCAACACTCATTTGTCAGACAACACCCCCTCCTCGAGAGCAAGCTCTTTTAAGCGCAGGCGCTGCTAAGCCGACTCTTTTTTTTCTTCAAAAGGACCCTTAAGCCCCCCCCAGCCCACGTGGCGAGTAAAGCAAGGTGGCGGTGATAGGCGGGGTTAGCTTGGAAGAAGGGGGGGGGTTGAAGGACGGCTGGGGGCGTGGCCAGATCTCCCCAAAGCATGGACTTACGGAAGCTCAGCCTCCTTAACTGTTAACTTCTCTACACATCCACCGGTCTGAAATTGCATGAATGAGACTACTGTTTGCCAGCTGATGGAGAAAGCTGGTGCGACTGTATCTTAACCCTTACCTGCGCTCGTAGTCGTCTGCGTGGCTGTAATAGCAATTCAAATCATGACCAAGAAATAACGTCTGCAAAATTTGGAATAGAAACACCCCCAAATCTGAAACAATAATTAGAAAAGGACCTCAGAAACTTCTGCAGCAGACCAGGGTAATTACTAGAAACTTGGCCAACTTTATTCAAATTTCCAAGTAAAGAAATTTAGGAAAATTGCAATCTCTTGATCAGAGAAAAAACCAACGTTTCAGATGATTGGGTTTATGAGCGCCAGACACATTAGGCAGTGTAGCAATACGTAGGTGACTCAACGTCTGTATTTGAGCGAATTGTTGTATAAGAACAGTGTTTTTGCCTATAGTTTCCATAGTACCAATTTGAGCCAAGGCTAAAAAAAACCCCACCCTTGCCTTGATTTGTGTATTTTAAAACTACTTTAGAAACTTAGTTCTAACAGAAAGTTCATTCAGCTGGTTATTCCAGTGGATGGAGGGGTGGATGTTTTACATATAAACCATAAAGATTTATTTTCCTCATATACATCTGTAGGTGTTAAATTTATAGCACTTTTCTGCAGATAAGGCAATTACTTATTTTCTTTTTACAAGAATGGGTGCACAGGACAATATCCTAGTATGGATAACTATGCTGAAACCCTAAAATATTCCATATTTCTACAGCTTTCTGTTTCTTCCAGCTCAAAGAAAAATGGGGAAGTACTTTTAAGTATTAACTTACCAAAAATTACACTGCCGCTCTCCCAATTTCAAAGTTCGGTAATAGTTAAAACAATCTCTTACCCCAAATAAATAATTCATAAATCTGTGCTTGACCTTCCAGTTGTTCAATGGCCATGCAAAATTCTCAAGTTGAAGCTTTTCATTTACTAGTAATAATCTTACATTTATATTTTAATTACTTTTCCAATAACCAAATCATGGCTTTTCTTCAGACCACCTGCACAATATATTTTCATCTGAAAATGAAACTCCAATCTGGTATTTCAAACCGTGAGAGGAGAGGAAAACAATTCTGGTAAAATGGCATCATTATTATCTGATAGATAATATTATTTAATTCCCAATGTCTCCATTCTTCCCATGATACCAAGGGAGCTACCTACAAACAAAAACACAGACTACATCTGACTCATGTTATTTATCTTGAGTTATCTAACTTCATGGAGATGTTTAAAGGATAAGGTTAAAATTTATTCCCCAAATATTCATAGATGTTATTGTTCATTTAGTACATTCAATAACCACACCACTGTAAACAATAAAGTTCTTTTAAGAATTAATTCAAGCAATTATTTTGGAAAGGGCAACAATGGAAAAGAGCAGAAAGGTGGGGCAGGAGCCAAACAATTATTTAACAAAGCATTTCAAAACATATTTAAATGTTTAAGCAGCTGCATTCATTCATAATTACAAGCAAAAAGTAAGACATTTCTTTTGATGTTTTATTGGCATTAAAATGGTTGTAACTTTGGCAACTGATTCAGGGTAAAGACCTCCCTCTTCCTTTTAAAATGTTTAGATCTGTTTGTGATGAAGGCTGATGTTCATACTTCTTCAAATAAGTGAGAATCAGACAACATATACATAGCTTCCTGCAAGCTTTACAGAACTTTGGCTTAGGATCGTCCCTTATGTTTTCTAATTATGCATATGGGAAAGAGATATTAAATTAAAATATATATGACAAATGCCCCATAACACTTTTACAATGTCAGAAGATTCTGACTGGCTTTTTTTTTTAGTTTGCATAGGTCTTCTAGTTCAAAGATAAACAGACATGATCTTTCACTTGACTGTGTATGCATGAAGACCCAAAATAGGAGCAGTGACTGTAGTCAGGAAGCTCAATCTAAACAGCCTCTGATATACGGTTTCCTGCTTGAGCGGACTAGAAGACCTCCAAGGTCTCTTCCAACCCTATTATTCTATCTTCTACTGGAATGTAAAAAAATTCAATATCTCCACACAATAATCAATGTTTTCAATAGTAGCGAATATCTGTATCTGAATAATGTTTAAAAACCATTAATTTTCATAACAATTAAAAGCTAGGATTTTTAAACAAAGATTAATTTCTTGTCAGTTTTGCTGTACTTTTACCATGTTGTTTTCAGAAACCTCTCTAAAGCTTGCTGTAAATGATAGTGTTACTTTTGGAGAAATAGCTATAGCAATAGCAATAGTGCTTAGACTTCACAGCACTCTCTGAGAGGTTTACAACATCAGTATATGATGTATATATATCAGTATACCCAACAATCTGGGTCCTCATTTTACTGACCTTGGAAGGATGGAAGGCTGAGTCAACTTTGAGCCCATCAGGATCGAACTCCAGACTGTGAGCAGAGTTAGCCTGCAATACTGCATTCTAACCATTGTGCTGCCAGGGCTCTTGGACATGACAAGGCTCTGTTATTGGCCAGTCCTAAGGTTGTTTGGGAAAACATGACATCGGTTCTCGTTGCCCAACTCTGCACTTCCTTGAGAAGTTATGAATCATATTCATTCCAATTCATAGATTTAAAAAAGTAAGTACAAAACTCATGCCCAACTTACAGGAGCTTATTCTCTGGGAAGATAATGGACAGGAACAAAATACTATCAGGTAAACAGATGGCAGGTTAATTGTTATTGATTTCCAGCAAAAAACGAGTGCAATTTACAATATTTGAGGATTCCTAAAAGGCAAGTTGAGCCTTTCAGTAGAAACACTGAAGACTGTTATCTCTCACCCAATCACAACACCCCATGTTAAAAATACATTTCAGTGGTTAAATGTTACGTTGTTCCCATAGTCTCTACTTCAGGCTAGTGTATCCATGACTTCTCCTCAGCAGCAGCTGTTTTGCCTCAGAAGGAGGCACAGAGTAGTATTGCAGGCAGTAGAGGCAAAACTTTCCTGAACCTACAGCTCCTGCTATCTTTTGCTACTTCTCCTTGTCTCTTTGCCGTTGCTGACTGGGTTTGAGGAGGACCCTATGGTTGATGAGCTTCCACCTTGATGGTTGGGTTGACTCCTAGTGATGCGACTGGTGGTAGGATGGGTGGAGATGCTGGGTTGGTGCACAGCACCACCAGAGGGGATCAACCCATTGCCATTCTGGTTCTCTGCAGCTGAAGCCAAGTCACATGAAGGAACATAGAAAGATACAAGTGAAACAAGATCAACAAAGCTACAAAATTCAGTGTAATCTTGAAAACCAGAGTTAGTGTGAAAGATTTGTCCCTCCATATAAAATCCTGTACTGAGTTCTCAGACAAGGAACCGCAGAGGAGTATGAGCAAGAAAAATGATTCCCCCCCCCCCCCCAAAAAAAAAAAAAATAGGTGAAAAGGTAGAGAAGCCAATGGGGGACATATTTGGTTGTTGGTTTCTGGATTGTGGCAACTTGATTTTGGACCTGGATTTCATTTCTTTGGTTAGAGTACAAATGCTAGATCCTCTGGCATATGATTCTGCAAGGAGGAACTTTTACAAGTTTGCAGAAAGTCACCAGGCAATGAGACCATGGCCTCTAGGCCACTGCTCTGTACGTCTCCTGCCAGTCAAACAGAGACTGACCCAGAAGTTGAGACTGACATCACACTAAGCAGGGATAGGGAACCTTCTCAGGGGCAGCAACTTACTCCCCTGAGCAGCTGAAAGCTCCCAGGGATTATCACAGTGCCCTTGCGCTCATTTTTCTGAGTCTTCCAAGGAGAGAGAATAATGGAAGGGGGGGGGATGGGCACAGGAAGTTTCATGAAGGTAAAGTGCTCCATTTCTACCACTGAAAAAAGTCCCCACAGCCAAGAATCATACCCATCTTTTAACGGCCCCGTTTCAATTCACTTTTGGGGGGTTTGGGAGAAATCTCAGGTGAAGGTTGGAGGCCTCCCGCTCCCTTCTCCACCCTTACTTTCAAATCCCCACATAAATATTGTTCCAATGAAGACTGGCTTCTCGGCTACTAAATCCTGAGATGCTTGGAGGACTCATGTGGCCTCTTGACTAGTGCATTGACGTACAGTTTGTTGACCATACAAAGCACTAATTTTATTCCCATGTAACATTGTCACAAATCATGGTTTATAAACCACAGTATCTAAATTAATACAGGTAGTCCTCAATTTACAGTCATTCATTTAGTGACTGTTCGAGGTTACAACAGCACTAAAAAAGGTGATTTGTGAACATTTACACATTTACAACTGTTACAGCATCCGCATGGTCATGCAATCAAGATTCAGGGGCTTGGCAACTGGCATGGATTTATGACAGTTGCGTTGTCCCAGGATAATGTAATCACCATTTATAATCTTCCCAGCTGGCTTCTGACAAGCAAAGTCAATGGGGGAAGCTAGATTTGCTTAAAGGCTGCATGATTCACTTAACAAGTGCAGTGATTTGCTTAACAACAGTCACAAAAAGGGTCATAAAATGAGGCATAACTCACAACTCAGTTTAGCAACCAAAATCTTGGACCCAATTATGATTGTAAGTCAAGGACTACCTCCATGTAACATTAAGCTAAAATCAAATAAATCATAAT